ATAAAAGTGAGGCATTTCATGTTTTCAAAAATTTCTTAAAGAAAGTTCAAAATGAAAAAGAGACAACCATAGTAGCCATAAGAAGTGACCATGGGGGAGAGTTCGAACGAAATCTGTTTTCAGATTTGTGTGACGAACTTGGCATTGATCATAACTTCTCAGCCCCACGTACACCACAACAAAATGGAGTGGTGGAACGTAAAAATAGATGTCTCGAAGAAATGGCTAGAACTATGATCAATGAGGCAAAAATCCCTAAGTATTTTTGGGCGGATGCCGTGAGTACCGCGAGCTACGTGTTAAACCGAGCCGTCATTCGACCGATACTCATGAAAACGCCCTATGAGCTATACAAAGGGAGAAAGCCAAACCTTTCCCATCTTCGAGTCTTTGGCTGCAAATGTTTTATTCACAACAATGGCAAAGACAATTTAGGCAAATTTGATGCCAAGTCGGATGAAGGAATTTTTCTGGGTTACTCATTACGTAGCAAGGCTTATAGAGTCTTCAATAAACGTACTTTGACTATTGAGGAGTCTCCTCACGTTGTATTCTCCGAAGATAACCCTCGCTTGGCGAGAAAGGATATTTGTGATGACCTTGCAGAATCATTAGAAAGAATACATGTTGATGACGATGAAGACAACACCGGAATATACATCAACACATAGCCGCAAACTGAGGAGATACCTCAAACGACTAACCAAGGTGAGGAAGAAAATTGGGAGGAAGAAGAAGGACAAGAGGAACACGAAGAAGAAACAACCAAGCTTCCCATAGCTTGGAGAACGCACAGGAACCATCCACTTGACCAGGTAATCGACAACATTAACCGCGGGGTAAGTACTCGTAACTCTCTTAGGGACACCGTAGGACACATGGCTTTTGTATCTCAAATTGAACCTACAACCATTTCCGAAGCAATAAATGATGAACATTGGACCTTGGCTATGCAAGAGGAACTAAACCAATTCAAACGAAATGACGTTTGGGAATTGGTGCCAAGGCCCGATGATCGTACGATTATTGGTACGAAATGGGTGTTCCATAACAAACTTGATGAAAATGGAATAATCACTAGAAACAAAGCTAGGCTTGTAGCTAAAGGCTACAATCAATAAGAAGGCATTGATTTTGAAGAAACGTATGCACCTGTAGCACGTTTAGAAGCTATTCGTTTACTTTTTGCTTTTGCTTCGTCTATGGATTTTAAACTTTATCAAATGGATGTTAAGAGTGCCTTCCTCAATGGTTTTATTCAAGAGGAAGTGTATGTTGATCAGCCCCCGGGGTTTGAGGACTTTGAGTTTCCCGATCACGTCTTCAAACTCAAGAAAGCGCTCTACGGTCTTAAACAAGCACCACGTGCTTGGTACAAACGTTTGAGTAAATTCCTTTTGGATAGTGGTTTCCAAAGGGGAAAGGTTGACACTACACTTTTTATCAAGAGTAAAAACAATAACATCCTTTTGGTTCAAGTTTATGTAGACGACATTAAATTCGGTGCTACTAACGAGTCTTTGTGCAAGGAATTCTCAACGCTCATGACTAGCGAATTTGAAATGTCAATGATGGGCGAGCTCACATTCTTTTTGGGACTCCAAGTTAAGCAAATGAAAGATGGAACGTTCATTTGCCAAGCTAAATACTGCAAGGAGCTCCTAAAACGGTTCGAAATGGACAACGCCAAAGCCATGGCGACCCCGATGAGCACGTCTGACCATCTTGACAAAGACGAGAAAGGTAAGGAAGTAGAAGATAAAAAAGTATCGAGGTATGATCGGATCCCTTCTCTATCTTACCGCTAGTAGGCCGGATATCATGTTTAGCGTATGCCTTTGCGCGAGGTATCAATCATGTCCGAAGGAATCACACTTAATCGCGGTGAAACGGATCATGAAATACCTTGCCGGCACGGTCAACGTTGGACTGTGGTATCCAAAAGGCTCTTCGTGTCTTCTCGTTGGCTACTCCGACTCGGACTTTGCCGGTTGCAAATTGGACCGCAAAAGTACAAGTGGGACTTGCCACTTACTTGGTAGTTCTTTAGTTTCATGGTTTAGCAAAAAAC